AAAAAAAAAAAAAAAAAAAAAAAAAAAAAAAAAAAAAAAAAAAAAAAAAAAAAAAAAAAAAAAAAAAAAAAAAAAAAAAAAAAAAAAAAAAAAAAAAAAAAAAAAAAAAAAAAAAAAAAAAAAAAAAAAAAGTCCACCTAAGTTACATTTTCCACATGTGGTAGACACTGGTATTGTGATTTACATAAGAGTTGGCAGCTAAAAAGCCAACTTGTTGCAGAAAAGCCACACAATCTTCCTCCATTTTAATAACAGCTATCAACTTCATTTTGTGTTTTCATGTTACAACTACTCATATAGAGGCTTGCATGCATGGATCTTAAAAGTAACAGCATATTACCTCATTGTACAAGAAGCCTATGAACCCACGAATTTTAGTGGACTTATTGATAGGGTGATAGGTAACAATACTTGAATTTAATTCCAGTATCCCTTTTGATGCAGTGATTGCCGCTTTAATTATTAAAAATTAAATAAATTTTTAAAAAGCAATTTGTCTCTTTTTCAAATTCCTATTTTGAGAAACTTGCCTGCCACTAGAAGTGCTTAAATTATAATCTTAAACTTCGCTTCTGTTAGCAAGTTTCATGTCCAGAAGCTGATAATTCAATTCATTTTGGGAAGATTCAATTAAAAAAAAATGCTAATAACACTCCCTACGGAAATCATGGATTGTTTGATGACAGCCAGACAACTTCATGTGAATAGCACCTACAAAGTATAGGTGTCTAAAGCAGTCACCCATCCTACTCCACCTTATTTCTGAAACTGCATGTGATTGGCGTCTCTAAACTCGCCCAAATACATAGCCAAAATCCTGGGTTCTTGAAAAAGACGTCCTCCCCTCATACAGGTTGATGAGATGAGGAGTTATCGGTATTACACAGACACGTGTGGGGCCGCAATGAAGTTTCTGAGACGGACTGCGGCTCCCAGGAACTGGGCATAGGAACTATCTGCCCCCCTAGCTGCCAAAGGCACTGAAAGCGAGACCAGAAATTGTCCAGCCAGTGCTGCGGGTGAAGTCAGCTGCTGAAGGAGAGACAGGGCAGCATGGGCGAAGCTCTCCGGAGAGGAGAGCGACCATCCCGGAGCACAGACTGGAGTTTTTGGCATCGCTTTTTGCATTCCGCGATGCGCTCCTGGGGAGGGGCGAGAAGCGGCCGCTTCTCCTGCCGCCCAGGCAGCAAGAGGCTCTCCCCGGTGCCGCCCAGCTCGGTGCCAGTTCCTGCAGCCGCGTCCCACAGCCTCCACGCCACGGGAGGCTTCGACGCGGGGCCATGGGAGCTCCGCTGCCACTTGAAGGGGCGCGGGGTCCGCGGGGCGGCCGCTGCCGCCTACCTGCTCCGTCCCCGGTCGGTGTAGCGGGTGAGGAACAGCCCGACCAGGTCCTCCTCCAGGAGTCCCTGGAAGTCTAGCTGCAGGACGTATTGGCTCCCGGCCCGCATCCGCCCGCGCAGCTCCAGCACCACCATCTCCTCCTCCTCCTCCTGCCGCAGCCCCGCCACCTCCACGGCGGCGCCCGGTCCGGGCAAGGGTCCCCGCACGGCGGCCCGGCGGCTCCGCAGCCCGGCGCTGTGCAGCACCGCCGCGTCCGTGTCCTGCCGGCACAGCACCGTGATGTTCACCTGCCCCCTGAAGAAGAACGGTCCAGCTTGGCCCGGCCGCACCAGCGGCCAGAGCTCCAGCTCGTAGCGGAGTGGCAGGAGGTGGCGGGGCAGGCGGCGGACGGGGCCTGCGGTGGGAGCCGGTGGCGGGGCGGCGGTGCCGGGGGTGGCGGGCGAGGGCGACGGCGGTGCCGCTGCCTCCTGCCGGCAACGCCCGTAGAGAGCGGCGAGCGCCAGCAGCGCGGCCAGGAGCGCCAGCAGCAGCGCTGCCCCCAGGGCGGCTGCCCTGCGCCCCAGGTAGAGCCCGGCACCGCGGGCCCCCATCCCCGCTCTGCGCCCCGACGGCCGCGGCCGCCGCTACTTACGGGGTGGGGAGGGGGGGGGGGGGGGGGGGGGGGGGGGGGGGGGGGGGGGGGGGGGGGGAGGGAGCGCGCCCGAGGGCGGGACGAGCCGGGCCAGGAGAGATGGGTTTCCACGCGGTGCCGGGAAAGCCTCTCCGCGGAGCGCTGCTCCGGCGGGGCGGGCTGCCCCTGTCCCGACTCCCTCAGCAAGCAGCCGAGCAACCGAGTAGCCGTTCGTAAAGTCCGAGAGAGAAGACGTGACCGGAGGCGCGGCTGGGCAGCGATGCTGGACGGCTGATGCTGGATGCCGAGTAAGCCGCGGGGATGAGCGATCACGGCGCTGCCCGGACAGGCGGCACTGCCGGGACCGGACTGCCCCTGGGCTCTCTGCCGGAACAGCGCAGGTCGACGGCTCGGGGCTGCGGAAAGCCCCGGCACCGAAGGCGGCCGTCGAGCTGGAGATGGGGGCTCCCTGCGCACCGGTCGGAAAAAGAGTAAAAAAACACTAAACCCTCACGTTTTTCACCACCGTGGAAATAGGGCATTTACCAACCCACAACTGTGCATCTTTCTCCTGGTGGTAACATACGTATCAGTAAAATGTTAGAAATGGGAAAAGAGTTTGCATGCAATACTAATCATGTGAGTAGCTTCTGCTGCAAATATTACAGTTTGTCCCTTCTGCTGAACTTAGTTGCAAAGTTAAGACACCTGAATGACATGTTCCTGGAGATAAAGATGCAGGAGGTCCTGGGCCAGGACAGGCACCTTGGCCACAGCAAGTCAGGCACAGTATTTTATTCAGGCTGTGGCACAGATAAAATCCTGACCTTGGACAGAAATAAGAGGTTTGTATTTAAGTCAGAATGCTCTGGTATATATCTGAAGGTAGAAACAAATCACCTGTTATAAAGGAAGTCAGACAGCTCTGTTGCTTTGAAAGGCACCAAAGCATTTGGCAAACTTTACTATCTCGGTATAGGCAATGGGCTCTGTGCCACAGTCACTAGTTGTTCAAAGTCCTGTTGGCGTCCACTAAATTTTGAACAAGAGAAAAATATGTCAGCATGGGATCTAGTGTCCATTCAGCAGTGAGGTAAACGGCACTTCATGTAGCAGCTGGCCAGGAAGTTTAACAAGATATTTCAAATAGCAAAATGTTATAGTAACCCTTCCTTAAACTTTTCAAGATTTTTCAGGATAATAGTATTGCTTTCATTAAAAATATTGTGACATCATCAGAAATCATACAAATTGAATGCCAAGAAAAAGGAAAATAGCATGTTTACACAATGTGAAGTAATTTTTATGCTGAAAGATGATTCCCTAAATCACATTTGTTCAATCTAATTTGAGAAGTTGTGAATGACAGCATGCATGGCAATTCCAGCAGTCAGTCAAGGCTGATCAGCACTCCTTAAACTTTGTTTACAATTCCTACAGAATTTCAGTGGATATAAAGTTTACAAGTTATCACAGTGGAAACTGAACATGGATCTGGATTTGTATTGACACAACTGTCCCAACTGGCCAGTACAGAGCAATACAGAAAGGCAATGTGGAGAAGACTTCCAATTTAAAATGGTCAAATTTGACCAAGTATTGGAATAGCATCAGAAAGCATGACATTTAAAGCTCAGATTAATGGTTTGGAGTGAGGTGTCATTGCGTGGTGACCACTATGTGAGCAAATAAAGTGCTTTCACCATAGCAAGTTCTGCATCTAATTAAAAGGTTGTATGTAGGGAAGCCTACTTGAAATGTTGCCACTATTGGTAATGATGTCTGATCTATAATTAAATATATATATATAAAAATAATTTTTTTCACCTGTGCTTTAATTAAAATATGTTCCTTTGTGTTTCAGACTGACAGGTCACTGATAATCCTCTGTCTGGAAGACAAGGAAATCATGCAAAAATTTGTTTGTAAATTCTGTTCTGGTTTGGTGGACCAGCTCTATGCTGTTTGCCAGGGCCTTGCTGACTGCCTCTGTGGAGCTATGTATCAATTCAATGGTTTGGATTTACACAGTAAATGGCAGGTAGCAGCAACAGCTCTCCCCACTGGAGAAAACACAGCAACTGGGGCAAAACAAAGCTATTTCTTTGAGCACTTCTGCTTGTGCAAGACAACAGAGTAGTCCCTAAATGGCATGGGTAAAACAGAACAGTGATTAATCATAAAACTTGGGGTTAACAAAACAATCAGTGAGCATGGTCACACTCAGAGCTGCTGAAGACTCCCTCCAAAGAGCTGAGGATGCTCAAAGAAGCTAGAGCGGTCTGCAGCCTTGTCTGAAGGTATGGTACATGGGATAACTACCTCCTCCTCAGGGAGGATCAGGAAAGCATCTCCAGGGAACATGAGAAGATCCGCAAAAGAGTATGGAAAGTAACCAAGAACTAAGCACACCAGATGTGAAACTACTAGCCAGAATATAAGCAGGAGATGACAATTAAGGAGGCTGCTGTTTTATAAGAAAATTTTTGTATAGTGGGTAATTCTATCAATTGGCTTTGAAGCTGCGGCAGGTGGTCAATAGGACTGATAAACTAAGTCTTGCTACTGAGGACATGTGGGAAAGAAATGTATCACATTTTCACCAGTTTGCCTAGTAAGAAAAAAACCTCACTGTAACAATTATTTCTTAATTGGAATGAAGTTTTGAAAGAAATTTTTTGACAATTTAATAAGAAAAGGATGAGTGTAGGCATTTGCACAGCACGAAACCTTGTTCCAGACATCATTTTACTTTTTCTCTTGTGAAATTACATGTTTTCTGATTCTTACTGCACTTAAAAGAACTTGAATATCAGCACCTTCCAAATACGCCAACTTTTTCAGGCTTGTGCCTGATCAGGCTGTATGGAAGTGATTAGTAAATTGACTTTGCTTAACATGATGAATGGTGATATTTTCAAAGTTGTTGTCCCTCTTTATTATGTGTTTTACAAGCTTTCAGATACCCAACATTTTTCTAGAAGCTTCACTTTCTAGAACCAGGAACACAGTATTTGTCTCCTGAGTGCTCTTCATACTAAGATTTATCAGCTCTCTATGAGGAATATCAAGTTAAAGTCTGAAGAATTCATGCATGGAGATACTGCAAACTTTTTCTCACCCATGGAGTTGAACCAACTGAGTTGGATCAAGGGTCTCCTCTCATTTCATTTGCTTTTGTTGCAAGTAGGGCTCTTGGATGGTATGCAAACCTAAGATTGCAACAGCCAAGTACAGGAAATGCTTCACAAAGCTTACTTCAGCCCTAGAGGGGCGCTGAAAGGGAAGTAACCTTGGCGCGTCCAGCCTGCTCTCCTGTTACTATGAGGAGCATAGCACAAGAGAAAGCAATGGCTGTTTCTGCTGGAAGTAACCACCTCATCTGCACTAGGCAGGTGCCAGCCAGCCCAGCTGTCCAGAGCAGTGGGCAGTGCTCAGTCTTGTCAGGACTTTAGAAGCCAGGGGCACCTTGTGCCCTCCAAACACTAATAAGCATTATGTCCAGGGCAGAAGAAAGAGGTCCAGGGCACCACAGCTATTCCAAAATTGACTCCCTGGAAATTCACATGCTTTGAGGACTGGGCCCTCTGTATCCATGGCTTTGCTTGACAGATCCACTTCTTTAGGGTCACTATATCTGTAAATCCCAACTTAATCTTTCCTGGCCCACTGTTCTAGGAAACTGCCTGTTTTTTTCTGTGCTGGGAGTTAGCTCTGCAACAGAGCATTACCATTGCACATCTGCAGCAAGCTCCAAGGGATCATCATCATCAAAACAACATCATACTTCACATATTGACACATTGTTTTGTCTGTCCTCTTAGCTTACAAGCTGTTTGCCATATTTTGTGATGTGTCAGACTTTCAAAAATTACTGAGAAATGAGGACAGTTGTTTCCTCACATTTTTTTTCCAATTAAAATCTTCATTAAACTAGTCAGACTACTACGTGAAGACTACTGGTGGGAATTCACATGCTGGCAGAGACTCAAACACACAAGACTTCAACAGATTTAAAGCTTACAAGTTGTCTTGATCCCTAGATTCTGGGTATCATATTTTGCAAGATATACTTCTTGAAGAAATTCACAAAACACTCCCCAGTTTCTTACTGGTCCAACAAACCTGTGCTTCACTGCAGAATGTGGCTACACGTCAACTTGTGATCAAATTGGCCAGAGTTCTGTATATCCTTAGAGACCCTAGACAGCTTGTTTTCCAGGGCCTCTTTCTGGCAGGCCTTTGGCAGAAATGTACTAAGGTTTGAGCCTGATTTATTAACAGAATAAAACAGGTCTCCAGTTTAACCCTCTAGTATGTTGTTCTGGCACTTCAGAGCACAGTACTCATTTAGAATTCTTGTTTTGGTGTAGCTTGCAATCCCAGTGCAGTTCTCCATTTCTACTTACCAAGTTTGCTCTGATGGACTCCCGGAAAGAAGGTACTCTGCACTCTCATTGTGACATAGAATAGAATATGGAAATAGGATGTCCCTACTTACAACAGGGTAGGAATACATTTTTCATTTAAAACGAATGTGTGTAAAATAATAATGCTGCTGGCTACTAGACCCTGTCTTTAGTGCAGAAAAGTACTAAAGCATAACAGAATAAAGGATGTGGATGAGCCCCTGAATGGCTCCTTCCATTAATTAAAAAAACGACCTACCAACCCACCAAAAAATGCCAAACAAAAAAATAAAAAACCCCAACACAACAATTCTGTGCATTTGTCTGTGTTTGAAAAGCTACAGCTACAAAAGCTAGATTTTCTTGCAGGACTAATGACATAGTAGGTGCCTCTGAGGATACCTCAGTGACAATAACATGGTGGGGGAAAAATTTCTGACCTTTCTTTTTCATACAGTTGTGTGGGACTGCAGGCTGATCCGTGCCACCAGCTCCTCAGTGTGCTGTGGTGGTTTTTAAGGTGATATGGGAAAAGTCTTAGGAAGCACAGTCAGGATGCATTTCTGAGGAA